AAAAAAAAAAAAAAAAAAAAAAAAAGAAATAATAAAGTGATCGTCAGTACTTGAACTTCGTAATGCAAGAATTTGAGTTCAGAAAATTTTATCACCGACTCATAACAATAGGGACAAATCGTCGAATTCGATCTGAAGGCATGTCTTAATCTAAATGCATGATAAATAAATGCTAACCTTCTCTCTTTTGCTCATTTGCTTCTCTTCCAAATCTTCGATAATTGCATCAGTGCGTTTCCTGTAATGAAAACTTGGAATTATTGTGGTCAGAGATAACGCGCACTCATAACTACAACTATTGCGCACAGGTATGTCAGCCTACGATGAATGAATCCACTGAGACGTCGAAATGAAAAATATTTCAAGAACACCAACTATGCAGGAATGCAAGCACGAATACCAACATTAAGAGAATTGTTAGACTGATAAGAATAAGACAATGCAGAAGTTCGTGATGGTAATTAATAATGCTAATCACATGCTATAAACTTCATCAACATTGCATTGCTCGAATTAGATGATGTTATATTTTTCCGTTGTAACAGCTCTTACACTACCTCCCGGGGCAAGGGGTTCAGATTTCAAATAAACATTTGGATATATGCATTTGACAACTACTCAAACAAAAGTCAAGATAAGAATGTCACCAATTAGCTAGGATACCAGTTCTGAAATTGAAATTCTCCTTTCACCTATTTGATTTTTTTTTTTTTTTTTTTTTTTTTTTTTTTTTTTTTTTTTTTTTTTTTTTTTTTTTTTTTTTTTTTTTTTTTTTTTTTTTTTTTTTTTTTTCAGTTATGTGATTTGAACTCCCTCCTCTTAAATAAATCCAGATGGCCTCTCGCCAGAACAATCCTAAAGGATCGTTTAGCTGCAAATATAATGGACCATTTTTACCTGAACGGCGCACTAGTAACTCATTGCTTGTCCTAAACAATGGATAAAATCCTCCAGATCGACACAAAGTTGCTGTTGACCGGATTAGGTAAATGAATCTTAACATTAGATCAGAGATAGCAAGAAACCAAGCAACTTCGATGCTGAAGAATGTTAGCGCAACGTAAATCCACGACATACTGAAAGTAAATGAGACAGAAACATACTATTCATCAGCGAGATAACAATTCTCATCCGAACATTTTCATTTGGCTCTGATAGATTTTGCTTCACAAGAACATGGCCAACTAATTTGTAAACAGTTGCATCCTCTTTCAGCAAATCCAACTCCTGCATAACGCCACAAAAGAATGCAAGAATTAAAAATAAAAGGCTTACACGCCATATAACAATCGTTCTCGGACTTGACGACGACAACAGCGCCCTTCTTGATCAGTAGAATACAGTAGAAGCAAGATAATGTATTCCGAAATAGAATTTAATTGATGTCGCTCTTTATTATCAATTCAGTTACCTAAGAGACTCGGAAAAACGACTCAAATAACACAGACGTGAAGCAAAGTCGAGCACGAAAAGATTTGAGAAGAAATGCATAAAACTTCAGACAGATTCATATTCACTTTTAAGTTCTCATAAACCAGGCAAGAAGTAGAGATAAGGCGTTAGTTGAGTGAAGAAATGTTATGACCTTGAGAGCAGACTCGTTTTCACATAGCTCTGTATCACACTTCGATCTTGCTTAGTAATTCTTCACAAGGCCTGGCAAATCATTCACCAAATCAGAATTTCGAATCATGCACCAGATCTTCAAACAAAAATTTGCACAAGAAAATGCGTAGAATCGTGGAATAGCGGAATTTGAGGGAATGAAAATGTAATTACAGAAATGCGCGAGCAGAATCTTAGTGACGATGCTTGCCTTTCTGAAACTTTCTAAGATCTCTGCCTTTGATCTTGAGATCTCGCTGAAGCTCCTGATAATCGTGAAGGAGCTCATTCTGAAACTTCGTTGCTTCGGCTTCTTTCTTCGCCTTCCATCGTCGGAACAATAACAACTGGTACAATATACGTCCCTCGCGGCAAATAGTACAGTAACGATTTATATACTACTGATCTCACAAGCCCAAAATCGCCCCAATTCAGGACTGGCATTTGGGGATATTTTCGTAAATGCGCGGATTTTTTCCTTTTTTCTTTTCTTTAATCCAATTTTGATTTCTAGACGTCGTTCAATTTTTGTCCTAAAATATTCAACTTTATGTGAGCATTATTTAATATGCGCCATATGAGATATTATATTATAAGAATAATAACGTAATTACCTCAGTTATTATTATTTTTTTATAATCATACTAAATAAATAAATAATATATATTATAAAAATTCAACTGATGTTGAATAGATTTACTAATATTAGACAAATAAAAATACATATAAAATTATATTTTACCTTAAATTACTTATTAATATTCAATGGTGGTCTATTGTTTTTTTTTTTTTTCGATTCAATATAATTCATGAAATGAAGCACTTATTATTAGTTTATTAAATATGTTAAACCGTTGAGATTCTATCACTTTTAATAGATTTGTTAATTAAAATAAATTCGATAAATTATTGTTTAATTTTATTTGTTTTATAATA